GGGATTTGCATGATAGCTGTAGAGTTCGGGCAATTCATCCCACCATGAAACACTAGCCTTAACACCAGCGTTCTGCATAGCATCTGCAATTTAAAAGCGCAGCTATAAATCACTTATATACATATATATGTATATATATTTCGTAAATATATATATATTTGCGAAAAAACGCATTTTAAATCCCACGTCCTTACAGAAGTGATACTTCAGTACAAATTCGCAAGGTGATTTGTCTTTCCGCATGTTCCCGTGATTAACCGCAGAGAGTTCTTCAAAATTTCGACTCCCCATCTTGCGTAGCTAAAGTGCCCTGTTCAAAAACAAATGAAATGAGCATGCGCACAAAATGATTCGGTCAAAAAACTGAATCACAGAAAACATATGAAAAATTTATGGAATTACCGTTGTTTGGCGGATATGACATGTAAAGATTTTCACCATGCCCTCTTCTGAAGTCTTTAGTGGAATGTTTGAAGGTGCAGTGATTTGCCCACTCCTGTGCAATCGTTTCCGCTCGGCAGCTCCATGTCTGAGAAATTTAACGGATTTAATGAGAGGTTCTGGGAATGCACACCTATAGTACCAGAAGTTCTTCATAAAGCACGTGATGGCGGGGTTGTGACTTAAATTAATAGTAGACATGCGTTGTGCGCTAACCATACGTGTGACATTAATCTGGGCAGATCGAGGATGGTCTCCTGGGAGGGGAAGGGGGTTTCACCTTCCCTTCTTCCTTGTCACTACACCTACCTCTCAGCCAGCTCACGACCAACCCCTCCATCGTCGCGCTACCCCCCGCCCCCTCCTCTTCCCATCTTTTGCTGATAGACACGAAACTGAGGGTGGCAGGGCTCCTTGGGGAGGGGAGAAGGAGATCCGAGCGGCAAATGAGTAAACATAAAGCGAAAACACATCGCTAATCAGTAACGGCGGCTTAATATACCGCGATATCCGCCGGGCTAGGCGGCTGCGGGATGGAACGAAGGAAGGGGATATCTGGATAAGCCGAGGGAACGTATCTTACCAGCTGCTGAATGTTCGTTGCGGGAGGCATTGGTACTCCATTCTTGTCTAACTCTTGCCCTCTGGCAAGCCTCATGCGCAGCTCATTGTGTTTCTGGAGGAATTGTTGTCGCAGCTGCTGCGTCATTTCGGTGCCTTGGCATGAGGCAGAGGCTAGAAAAGTGAATAGTTAGGATACGCAGAAAACAATGTCCCACAGTGATTTCACTAGACTAGGTAAGTTAAGATGGAAATCAGAAAAGTGAATAGGCAAACAAAGGGGCATTCGGACTGACTGGAAAGTAGAAAGTGAAGGAGAGAATGATTTTTTACTTTAACTTCGTGCGGTATTCAGAAAAAAATTTGTATAAGTTTTGTTATGCTGTTTACTTTGCTCTGTTCATTTTGTATTTATTTTGTAATCGGTCTGCCAAACGAAGAGCTCTTAACATCACCATAATTCTCCTATGCAATACATGCTAAATGGTTAAAATTACTTGAGTGAACAACTCAGCACTGACAATTGTCAGTGGCTCGTGGGAACTGAAATGCTGTACACATGAAATTAGTCAAGAATGGATTTGTGTTCTCGAATTAACTGACCTAATCTCAAAGAAATGTAAACTCCGTAATTTCTATGATTAGCTTCCCATCATTTTCGGATCAGGAGAGTACA